TTATTCTGGCTCCAACCTTGCCTACATCCAATCCATTCTCTGGTCTGAAGCAAGAGGGGTCATTCTATGGCACAAATCTGTTTCTGCTTAAAAACTTCAAACATTCCCATTCTCCTTAGGATAAAGACCAAATTCTGAAACGTGGGCTATGAAGAGCTGATTCATAGCCACTGGCTCGTGAGAGCTGATTGTGTATACCTCTTCCCAATTCTGTAATTAGTAGAGTCACGTGGGTAGCTTGAAATTCGCCGTGCTGCGAGTATGTTTGCCACGAGGAAGTTGGCAAATGGTAGAAATCCGAGCTTTTTAATCCAAAAAACAGTTTGTTAAACAGTATACCACTGGACAAACACCAATATCCTTTTTTTAAAATATGGCTAGATTTGATGTGTTAATATTTTTGTTGAGGATTTTTGCACCTGTGTTCATGAGGGATGTTGATCTATAATTCTCTTGCTGTCTTTGTCTAATCGTGGTATTAGAGTAATATTGGCCACGTGAAATGAGTTGACAAGTGTTGCCTTATCTTCAGTTTTCTGGAAAAGTTTGTATAAAATTGGGATTATCTCCTCCTGAGATGTCTGGTAAAATTTGCTAGTGAAACCATCTGGCCTGGAATATTCTTTGCTGGAAGGCTTTTAATTACAAATTCAATTTTTAAAAATAGACTTATTCGTATTTTATATTTCTTCTTGTATGAGTTTTGGCAGTTTGTACTTTTTCAAGAAATTGGTCCATTTTATCTAAGTTGTCAAAGTTATTATTTTTTTGGTAGGATTCTATTTATTTATTTACTTACTTTATTTAGCTGCATTGGGTCTTACTTGCAGCGCACGCACTCTTCATTGAGGCGCATGGGCTTCTCTCTAATTGTGGTGCGTGGACTCCAGAGTGCATGGGCTCAGTAGCTGCAGTGCATGGGCTTAGTTGCCCTGCGGCACGGGGATCTTAGTTCCCTGACCAGGGATCGAACCTGCATCCCCTGCATTGGAAGACGGATTCTTTACCACTGGACCACCAGGGAAGTCCCTAAGTTGTCAAATTTAATGGCATAGCATTCTTATTATCTTTTTAATGCCTGTAGGGTCTGTAGTGATATCCTCCTTTATTCTTGATGTTGGTAATTTGTGTCTCTTCTCTCTTTTTTATTTTTTAATTTTCTTTGTCATTCTAGTTAGAGGTTTACCAAATATATCAACTTGTTTAAGAAAAAAATTTTGTTTCATTTATTTTTCGATTTTTCCAATTTTATTAATTTCTGCTCTTTATAATTTCCTTAATTTTTCTTTGAGTTTAATTTGCTCTTCAATTTTAGTTTCTTAATGTACAAGCTTAGATTATTGACTGAAAAGTGGTATTTTCTAACATACACATTTAATGCTATAAATTCCCCTAAAAGCACTGTCTTCAGAGCATTCCATAAATTTTGTTGTTTTCACTTTCACTCGGCTCAAAAATATTTTCTAATTTCCTTTGAGGCTTCTACTTCAACCCACAAGTTATTTAGAAGTGTGTCTTGAATTTCAAAATATTTATGAATTTTCCAGGTATCTTTATGTAGTTGGTTTCTGGTTTATTTATGGTCACAGTACACACTCTGGATGATTACAATTCTTTTAAATGTGTTAATTTGTTGTTTTCCTTCTTATGGCCCAGAATATTTTCTCTTTTGGTGAGTGTTTCATGTGCATTTGAAAACAATGTGTTTTCCACTCTTGTTGGGTAGACTGTTCTATTAATGTCAATCAAGTCAAGTTGTTTGATAGTGTTGTTCAAACTGATTTGCGTTCCAATTGTTTTATCTATTATTGATAAAAGAATGAATTTTTCTATTTCTTCTTTTAGTTCTATCAGTTTTTGCTTCATGTATCTTAAAGCTCTATTACTTGGTGTATGGACACTAAGTATTGTTATGTCTTTTTGGTGAATTGACCCTTTTCCATTATGTAAGGTTTCTCTTTGCTTCTAGTAATTTTCTTTATTCTAAAGTCTACTTTGTCTACTTAATATAGTCACTCTAGCTTTCTTTTTTATCAGTGTTTGCATAGTATATATTCTCTGTCCTTTTACTTTTAATCTATCTACTCATTATATTTAAAGTAAATTTTGTGTAGGTAGTGTATAGTGTGACTTTATTTTTAAATCCATCTCTATCCTTTAATTGATTTAGATTTAATACAATTATTGATATGGTTGGATTTATATCTCTCATTTTATTATTTGTTTTCTGTTAGCCCCCTCTAGTTTTTTTTTTTTTGTTCTTCTGTTCCTTCTTTCCTGCCTTTTAAAAATTTAAATATTTTTTATTATTTTATTTTAATTTCTCTATTGACTTCCTGGATATATCTCTTTGTCTTATTATTTTTTAGTGGTTGCTCTAGAGATCACAATATTCATGCATAACCTTTCACAGTATGCTTAGAGTTAATATTTTACCACTTCAAATAAAACATATAAGCCTTACAACCAAATAGATCCTGTTAGTCTCCTCTTTCCCATATAGTTGTCATATGTATTATATCTACGTATATTGAAAAATCCCATCAGACAATGTTAAAAATTTTCCTTTCAACAGTCATACAAATTTTTAAAGAATTTTAAGGTGAGGGAAAAAAATCTATTATATTTACTCAGCTATTTGCCATTTCTGTTGCTCTTTCTTCATTCTTGAAATTTCAAGTTTCTGGTATAATTTTTTTCTTCAGCCTGAAGAACTTACTTTACCATTTATTTTAGAGTAGGTCTTATGGTGACAAATTCTCTCAGTTTTCCTTCACCTGAGAAGGCTTTTATTTTCTTTTCATTCCTGAAGGATATTTTTGCTGGATATTGAATCCTGGGTTGATAGTTCTTTTCTTTCAGCACTTTAAAGATACTGTTCCGTTCTCTTCAAGTTACTCTGGCTTCTGATGAAAATTTCATGGTTATTTGACCTGTTTTCTCCGAACCTTTGTATATTAAAGCCATTGAATTTTGGGGTGGTTTGTTACACAGCAATAGAAAGATACTCAAACTCTATAATCCACACTGAACTTCATTTAGTTCTTTGAAAGCCCTTCACTTTCTTCTGGGATTTTGCACATGTGGTTCCTCCTTCATGAGAACTACGCCATCACACATGTTCACATTCCATTGCACACTCCCAAATGAGCCATATCACCTCCTCATCTTTCAGCTTTTGGGGTTTCTTCCTCCAAAAGTAGCTTCCTTGACTCTTCCCTCCTCTATAAGTCTAGATTAAGAGGCCCTATTACACATTTCAACAACAAACTGTGCTTTCCGTATCATAGATTTTAAAATAAAATAAAACATGTATTGAGCACTCACTACACACTAGGCCTTGTTCTAAATGTTTTGTAAGAGTCTATGAAACAATCCTGTTATTGCCTCTCTTTTCCCAATGAGGAAACTAAAGAACAGAATGGCTGATTTACCTGCCCATAATCACAGAGTACAGTTAATTAGTGGTTGAGCCAGGATTTGACCCAGACAGTCTGGCTTCAGAGCCATGTCCTTAACCACTATTTTAAGCTGCTTTCAACTTACCCCACTGTATTATAATAACCTTTATACTGTTATGTATAGCCAACAAGACTTTAAGATTTGTAAAGAAAAGAACTATGTCTATCTTGCTCATTTTTAGTATCTTTAATGCTTAGCCTAATCCATGAAACGTAGATGGCAATCAATAAATATTTATCAATTGCATAGTATCAAAGCACTGTTGTTTTATTTCTCATGTTATGTGTGTGTGTGTTACCTCTATATTTTGAGATTCTAGAGGTCAAGGATCTTCAATTTTCATGTATTTATCTCTAGATTCACAAACCTGAAATATGATAGATTCTCAATAAATATTTTGAGCGCATGACTGTTGAGTGAAGAGAAAATATATAGGGCAGAGTTAAAACGTCTTATGGAACAGAAAAGGTGCAGAGGCTCTACTTAGAGAAGCCAGGAACTCAACATCAGTAGAACATAAATAATGGTAAGTGCAGAAAAATAAGGACCAAGTCTTCTGGAATCACTTTTCTATCAAAGGTTATAAAACTCACCAGTTATCCAAGTAATGGGATATAAATTAGAATATACCATTTTTGGCCCACTAAATTATCAAGCTGGAATTAATAACATACAATGGTAGTAAGGGTATAGTGAAATAATGTTAGCATTATCATGCTTGTGGAGATTTAAATCAGTATATTTGTTTCAATAGTCATCAAAAATATTTATATAATGGAGACCTTAATTTCTCTTATAGGAATCTATTTCTAAAGAAATAAGGGGAAATATGGACAAAAATTTAGGTGCCTATATTAGTAAAACATGGTTAAAAAAATCAGAATCAACCAAAATTATATAGCCATTAAATTTTTGTTTAGAAAGATATGGAGACATGCTTACCATATATATGCATACAAAAAAAAAAAGGCCTGAGAGAAAATATTTCAAAATGTCAACAGTGATTAACTCTGGGTGATGGAATTATAAGTGATTTGAATTTTCATTTTTATACTTCCCCGTATTTTTCAACCATTGGCATGTATTTTTCTTTAATCAGATAAAAACAATAAATGTTACCAAAAAACTGCAAACTAACTTTGCAGCTGACCACAAGGCCCATCATAAATAAACAAGCTGGAGCAAGCCATTTCAAGAAAACAGACGTAATAACTGACAGGGTGGTGGGAAAGCATACAAGCCAAAGGCCCTTCTCCTTCAACAAAGTAAAGATTATGTTGCTAAAGACACCCTGGGAAAGCAGTACAAGCATCAAGGAACACAAGGATCCAAGACTTGTTGGATGGAGAACATATAGGTTTACATCTGCCTATTAAATATTTCTTGGAGGAAACTTTAAAGCAAATAAATCCCAGCACTCCAGTGGTCTAAGTGAACTGCCAATCCACAGCCAGAGCCAATTCAAGCTTTGAACCCTTGATTTGAAGGTTCTTAGTGAGAAGGGAATTGGAGACCTAAAACTTTAATTCATAGCTCACCCCTCTTCATGTGCACTCTGGTTGGCTAGCACTCTGCTGAGGGCCTGCTTGGATGATAGTTTCAGGCTGTTGACCTCCTTCCCCTATGCCCTGATTGTGTCTTGTCACCAGACGTTTAGGAAATGATGCAAGCACTCTCTCTAGTTCTCCATCCTTGCCTTTGAATTGTCCTGCAAGAAAATAACACATTTCCATACATCAAAGCCTGGTACATAAAGAAAAGTCAGGGTTTCATATTTTCTTGAGTCTGTACAGAAAACTGACTATGACATAGATATGCTTCTTCACAGCTACATTGTTAGAGCAATGTCTAACACGTTCGGCAATTAGACACTAGACATTTAGACGTCTTTACTCTCTCATGGGGCTGAGCCTGGTTTGGGGCAATACTTTATCCAAGTGATGGAAGATGATCCATAAATACAGAATGATTAATTGATTGATTGATTGACTGACTGATGACTTTCTATTTTCCACAGATAGGATGACAAATGCATTCATGGCACTGGAGTTGTCATTCCTCCTCCAATACCATCAGTGGACCTCAAAGTTTATTCACAGAACTTTTTCTGAAATGCAAAGCTTCCCAAACAGTGCTCCAAGTAGACACTACCAATGAATTTGCACACAGACTGAAGTCTATTTGCCATCCATTCTACAGGATAAAGTCTAAACTCCTTAGGCCCCAACAATCTGTCCAAAGTATGTTTCCCATTACAGAACCACATGCCTCCTGCTTATCTGTCCAACCCCAAGCAATCACCACACTGTCTTGCTTCTCAGTCCCCAATTCAAATCACTATCTTCTTTTCTATACTCAGCAATGTGCTTATAGTTCAGCTGTAGTATTTATTTAATTCAACCTTGGAGTCTTAGTCTTACTCATGATAGCCTTCATCTTTGAAAATCAGAATTCTTTTCTTTAACATCAAAAACTTTCATGGATTCCCTTATTGTAGGAAGACAGGGACGATATCCATTTTAATCACATTTGTAACTCCAGTAACCAACAAAGTGCCTGTCCACATGGTAGATGCTTGGTAAATATCTATTAAATGAGCAAATGAAATACATTAATTGAAAAATTTATAATAACCAAAAGCTACCATGAATTGGTACTTTCTCACAAATTTGCATTTCAGAAATTACATAAACATCTACATATCTTGTAAATAAAAATAGGCAGATTTGAAATAATAATAAACTTTCTCTTTAGGGGAAGGTTCTGGTTATTAAAGTATTTAAGAGAGTTAAATATATCGATGTTATTCAGCAATTACTAACACCTAAAGAGTTTGAAGACAATAAAACAGACTTAATACTAAACTTCGACTGAACATAATTTCAATTTTCTTTGATGATTCAGAAGGTACTTCATGACCAAGCAATACCCTAGGGCCATAATTATGTATCAATTACACTTCCCAGCAATAACGGTTAATAGAAATTTCTGGTAGTTAAATGCCAGATTAACAAGCTGTTCCTGCCTTTAGAGTCCATGTATACACAGACTCTGCCAGCCCCAGGCTGAATGAAGTATTTCTTGATTCTACTGCTTTTAGAGTTTTCCCAGTAGAGTAATTCAAAGTCTAATTGCATTTGGGGGAATTTCAATTGGTCTTCAACATGGCCAGTTTCTACGCCCACTTCCAAAAAATAAGATGTCATTTATTAAGTGTATTACAATTGGCACTGTATAGCAATCCCAGGCACTACTTTGTGTGACCATGTGTGACCTTAAAAAAGTCACTAACTTCTCCCTTGTGTGGTTCTCTTATTTTTTAAAATTTTAAATTCTTTATTATTGCTATTATAATTCTCACTATCATAATTATCCCTTTATCTTTTAATAGGGATAATTATAGAATCTGCCACAGATTATTATTGCAGGGGTTACACACATTGAAAACTCTCGTCAGATGGTAGTCGCTTAGCTAGGCTATAACTATTATTATTGTGATGTTGCTTATTCTGTCTACCATTGAATAAAACTCGACAAAAAAAAAATCATCTCCTACTCATCCAGAAACCCTTATTTATTCATTCAATTTATTCAGCATTTATTTTGAGAGCCCACTGTGCTCCAGTCTATGAGTCAGGCATCAGAAAAATAAAGACAAAAGAGTCTTAGTATCTCCTCTAAAGGAGCTACAGTCTAATGGGATAGACAGACACATAACCAGGACAGTTCTAAAACAATGTGCTGTGTGCACACCCTCTAACTGGATTGACCAGGCTCAGGGAGGACTTTCTTTAGAAATGATACCAGTGTAAGGTCTTAACAATAAGACAGGGGGCAAACGGGAGGGGGTGGAGGAGGGAGATGATGAGCATTTACTGCGAAGAGGGCATTTCAGATAGAAAGAACCCTTAAAAAAAACCAGAGAGGCAAGAAAGAGCATGGCTTTATTTGGGGAGGATGGGGACTTCAGATGGTTTGGTATTGCTGGAATATAAAGAACAAGGCAAGGAGTAGTATGAGATACAATGGAGGTGTAGGCAAGGACTAGACCACAGTAGATCATGAGCCCCTGAAGGCCCAACACACACGGGAATCAGAAGTGGCGCCTCCCACTACATCATTGTCAGAGTTCTTCCGTTCTTTAGCAGGGTTCTCAGGACAGTATAAGGTTGAACTATGGCAGTTTGCCTAGGGCAGGGGGCATAGAAAACTGATTACTCCTGAACTTATGAGGCCAGTGGTAAGTCTTTGGAAGTGGTTTGAATTTGGGTTAAAATTCTCAAGAATGGAAGATTCCAGAAATGTCCATTTGACCTGGACTGTCTCTCTCCTTCCCCAGTGAAGCACAAAAGCTGGTCAGACAAATAAGCATGTGTAGTGAGTCTCTAGATCTTTGAAGAAGTCCAGAAGAAAACCCTTGCTTCATGGAAGCTGTGTGTGAAGGCCTGGCCTTAGTCTACCCATCTCGGTTAAAAGCCACCAAGCCTCCTCTGGTTTTAGGCCATAGTTAGTGGAAAGCCAGGGGTCTGCACTTATAGACCAGCAAGGGTGTTATGCTTATAGGTGCCTCATAGACCCATGACCCATGACTTGTAGCCTTTTATTCCAAGAAGTTCAGCATCCCCACAGCTCAGCCAACTTTGGACATAAATGTCCCAAAATCAGCAAATAAATGCTGTACTGTGGCCAAGGCAACAGCAGCTACTTCTGAGAATATAATGGGGTAAAGAAGGGACACAGAATGCTTTGCTAAATTCTCTTTCTACAGGAAACTGGAATAAAAGTGAGTTAAAACTCCAACACTGGAATTTTATGGTTAGTAACACTTAACAAAAGACATATATATATATATATATACCCCTTGTACTTATGCAATATAATGTGGAGAATTTGTGGAGTTCTTGATCTAGATGATTACAGCCAAAAATTTTTTTTAACATATCCACCTAAAATGTTTGGGGGGCTTCCCTGGTGGCGCAGTGGTTGAGAGTCCGATTGCCGATGCAGGGGACATGGGTTCGTGCCCCAGTCCGGGAAGATCCCACATGCCGCGGAGCGGCTGGGGCCGTGAACCATGGCCGCTGAGCCTGCACGTCCGGAGCCTGTGCTCCACAACGGGAGAGGCCACAACAGTGAGAGGCCCGCGTACTGCAAAAAAATAATAATAATAAATAAATAAAATGTTTGGATAATTGAGGAGAAACATCATTTATTATCTGAATTATCTGAAATGCTCCACTTCAGTGGACTGTATAGACACAATTCTGAATTAATTTATCCAAGAAATGCTGCTTTGAGAAAAAAGATTGACATTGGAAGGGAGGGATGGGCCTCCTCAATAAAGTCCAAGATTGTTTTTAAAGAAGATTCAGAAAAATCAAAAGGAAAAAATAAAATAAAAATTAAAAATTAAAAAAAAATCAAAAGGAAAGGAAGGGGTGATATGAAATGCTTTTAACTTTACTGTCATCCTTGAGTACTTACAGATCCCCCCCCATCTCCATGAAGTAGAAACACGCTCCTTCAAATTCAAATCAGACTACCTGAATGATCACATTTAAATCCTATTTAATCTGGAAAAATGTGAGCAATGCATCTGCCAGAACATCAATAATGAATTTGGTCACTTGGGCCTGGAGAAGGAAAGTCATCCAAAATTGAACAAGGATGGAGTCTTTGAAGGTGGCCATGATGGAGCTAGTCACAGTGTGTCAACAATCTTAGAAGCATTTCTCTAGAAGAAGCCAAGGCACAAATGGATTTGAATTTTCAGAGAACAGATAATCCAAATGAGTGACATCAGCCCAAAGATTAAGGATTAAAGCCAGTATGTTAACCATTCTTCTCCTCCTTTTCAGTGTCCTGGGTCATTCAACTATCCCAACATTTAAGTAAAATTTCAAAGCATCGAGAACATACATCATGTATGGACAGCTGCCCAGGCACTGGGGAGGTATCATGCTAGTCCAAATTATCTGGTTTTCCTGTATCTCTTCCATATTTAAACTGCCCAAGTAGTATACTCACCCATGCACAGACATACACACCAGACAATACTATTATATTTCTTTTGAAGCATGTTAATGGATTATACCAAAGTATAACACTATTTTTTGTCACCCAAAGTCTATAGGGACAGTCAGATTAGCCCTTCAGGTGCCTGGCAGCTCCACAATTCTCCCCGTACCAAATCTCAATACTAATAATATTAATATACTAAATAATATTAACTGACCTTCTAATTGTCTCCTGTGGTTAAGATTCTCCAACCATACTGGAAGTTCCTGGAAAACAGAGACTGGAGTTCTACCTTTGTTTGTTTCCTCTATAGCAAAGTATTGGTAATGGAATGGGCTTGATGAAAATTACATGTGAATTGACTGGTACACATACAAACATGTTTGTTTATGACATGAACCGACATGCTGTTTATGATATGGTCCAACCAGACAAATTAATTAGAAAAGACAAAGGGTTTAACAATGGCTTTTGTAACTAAGGAGTTGGCATTTTGAGGGTAATTATATATCCTCAGTGAAGAAGAGACTTGGCCGGGGTCACTGTAGCTCTGAGCCCTAATATAGCTCATGCCATACTCCTAGATCATTACAGAAAGACCTACAGCTCAGAGCTCAACTTCTAAGAAGTGAGCACAGGGGCCCTCTCTGTTCTAAGGTGTTGATTAATATTTTCTATCTGCCAGT